CGCTTTTACACCCAGCCGCTTTTACACACAGACGCTTTTACACACAGACGCTTTTACACACAGACGCTTTTACACACAGACGCTTTTACACACAGACGCTTTTACACACAGACGCCTTTTACACACAGACGCTTTTACACACAGACGCTTTTACACACAGAAGCTTTTACACACAGACGCTTTTACACACAGACGCTTTTACACACAGACGCTTTTACACACAACACTTTCACACACAGAGGCTTTTACACACAGAAGCTTTTACACACAGGCGTTTTTACACACAGACGCTTTTACACACAGAAGCTTTTACACACAGACGCTTTTACACACAGACACTTTTACACACAACACTTTCACACACAGAGGCTTTTACACACAGGCGCTTTTACACACAGACCCTTTTACACACAGACGCTTTTACACACAGACGCTTTACACACAGACACTTTTACACACAACATTTTCACACACAGAGGCTTTTACACAGGCGCTTTTACACACAGACGCTTTTACACACAGACGCTTTTACACACAGACGATTTTACACACAGACGCTTTTACACACAGAAGCTTTTACACACAGACCCTTTTACACACAGACATCTTTTACACACAACACACAGACAATACCACCGCTTTTTACACACAGACAACTTTTACAACAGACAAGCGTTACAATTGACCAAGTACAGCACCTTCCTACGTAACTTAAATTTAAGTACATTGCAAATTTGTAGCATAAACCTGGTTGATTGGCAAACGTACCTGAAAATCACTTCTCGAGCAAGAATCCTGAATTCGATCACTTTCTGAGATTTGGCTCTGGCTGTGGAGGCCAATGTGTGTGTGTAGTGTGGAAGGTAGCCAGGCCAAAGCAGCAGGTTCAACCTGGGCTGCGTGGCTTTCAAGGTCTGCCCGGCTTGGTTGGAGAAGGGATTAGAAGGGTCTGGTGCAGGAAGCCTATCTTGACCTAGAGAAATGATATGTACATACCACTGATAGCCCTTTGATCTCAATCCCTTTAGCCTCAGGGGATCTACTTGAGATAGCTCTAGAGAGTTATCCTTTGCTCTGGGCCATGGGGTCCCCGGTGGTTGATGAGTGGGAGAAATTGGACTACATCGTTTCAAGTGGCCAAAAAGGTGAGTTGGTACAGTTTGCCAACAGACCCCCCAAGACAGCTCTGGGCCCCTTGATCTTGCACATGGGCACCTAGGCTATATGATAGTGCTGTTTAGCTGTAGTGAATATTCCAATTATTCCAAATTCCAATTTGTAAACCTGGTGTCAATCACAACTCCTAGGTATGCGACCCACCATAGCGGATCTTCAGAGACTGGTCGATGAGTTCTTTTGGCGGGTCAGGCCCCGTGGAAAGGCTCCATTGGAAAGCTACTTGATCAGCAGAATCTTCAATTTTCACTCCTATCTCCCATGAACTATGAACTCCCATGAACTATGAACTCCCATGAACTATGGGCAACACCACAATCAACATGGTATTCATGTGGGGTTTTCTCATGAGGTTCGGTGGTCAAGATGCAAGCGTGGTCACTGCGCCAACTTGTTACTCAATTTGGACGTGCTGCACGTCGCCCCCATGTGCCAAGAGAGGCTGCAATGCGCAGTTTGTATGTTGCGGCAGATGTCCCTTTGCCAGAGGGTATCTTGATCAGATCTAATGAACCATATATTTTATATTTTTTCCAGTACAGTATCTTAGCTAGTTCACTAGTGATAAGCAGGTGTCCCCCTTAGACATAAATATAGTGGTCCCTACTTATCCCCACGTCACCTAGGTACTGAAATCAAGGAAGAAACTACCTTTTCTGATGATGAGTGTGCTGGAGGTGAAGAAGAATTTGAAGAGGAAGAGCTGGATGATGACTGCGTTGTGGACCCAGAGATCCCAGAGGACCTGTGCCAGTCATCCATAACAAATATACTTGGAGATAACCTATATACCCATATTATATCCATTTTATATTATATACCCATATTATATAACATACATACCCATAATATGTCCTTTTACCCCAGCCCTCTTCAGGTACTCTTCCACCACGGCCCTTGTCAGGACTTGGCATCCAAGCATGGCAGACACCTGGCACCAGCGGCTGGTGGAAAGGTGGCGGTGGAGATTCCATCATCTTCGGGTGACCCTGTGATGAAGGAACTGGTCCCTGTCGACAGTGT